AATCTTTGACTAAAATCGAGCTAGGCCACGATCTTGAATTCCACTTCTGGACCAAATCAAGCCAGAACACCATACGGAGCCTCATTTCTAGATGTGGGAGGGCTGAAATCGAACCAGAACGCAATACTGAGCACCACTTCTGGACCATATCGAGCCAGAACGACAGAGTGAGTGTTAGTTCTGGACCTGCGAGGGCTGAGATCGAGCCATACCACCATAGCAAATGGATTCCGGTCAGCCGCCGGACTGGTGAGACGCCTCCCCCCGGCCTCCCCTGTTGATGTTCCAGCGGAAGAAAATCGAACCAAAACAAATTAGCCTGGCGAAGGACCCAACCAGATGCAGCTGTGAGTGCCGCCGTTGTGGGTATCGACTTCGGTATCGTCTACGATGGGCCACGAAATGCTATACTGGGCGGGAGGGACGCATGCGAACTTTGCCACTGGGGCCTTCGGTGGAGTTCCCTATGGGCCACGAAACGCTGTACTGGGTGGGGGAGACGCATGTGGACACCGCCACTGGGGCCTTCGGTGGAGCCACGTATGGGGCCACGAAACACTGTGCTGGGCGGGGGAGACGCACGTGGACACCGCCACTGGGGCCTTCGGTGGAGCTCCCTATGGGGCCGCGAAGTGTTGTACTGGGTGGGGAGACGCACGTGGACACCGCCACTGGGGCCTTCGGTGGAGCTCCCTATGGGTTCACGAAATTCTGTACTGGGTGGGGAGACGCTCGTGGACACCGCCACTGGGGCCGTAGGTGGCATTTCCCATGGGGCCACGAAACGCGGTGTTGGGTGCGGGGACGCATGTGGACACCGCCACTGGGGCCTCAGGTGGAGCTCGCCATAGGGCCAAGAAGCGCGGTGCTGGGTGGGGGAGATGCATGTTGACACCGCCACTGGAGCCTTAGGTGGAGCTCGCTATGTGGCCACGAAGCGCTGTGCTGGGTGGGGGAGACGCATGTGGACACCGCCACTGGGGCCTTAGGAGGAGCTCCCTATGGGGCCACGAAACGAAACGCTGTGCGGGGCGGGGGAGACGCATGTGGACACCGCCACTGGGGCCTAAGTGGAGCTCCCTATGGGGCCACGACGCGCCGTGCTGGGCGGGGGAGTCGCATGTGGACACCGCCACTGGGGTCTAGGTGGAGCTCCCTATGCGGCCACGAAACCCAAAGCTGTCCCGGGTGGGGGAGACGCATGTGGACACCGCCACAGGGGCCATATGTAGAGCGCCCCGGGTGGGGGAGACGCATGTGGACACCGCCACTGAGGTTATTAAGTGGAGCTCCCTCGGGGGCCACGAAACGCTGTGCTGGGCGGGGGAAACACATGTGGACACCGCCGCTGGGTCATTAGGTGGAGCTCCCTACGGGGCCACCAGACGCTTTGCTGAGTGGGGGAGACGCATGTGGACACCGCCACTGGGGCATTCAGTGGATCTCCCTATGGGGCCACGAAGCGCTGTGCTGGGTGGGGGAGACGCATGTGGACACCTCCACTGGGGCCTTACATGGAGCTCCCATCGGGCCACGAAGCGCCGTGCTGGGTGGGGGAGACGCATGTGGACACCGCCACTGGGGCCTTAGGTGGAGCTCTCTGTGGGGCCACGAAGCGAAACGCTGTCCTGGGTGGGGGAGACGTATGTGGACACCGCCACTGGGAGCTTTAGGTGGAGCTCCCTATGAGGCCACGAAACGCTGTGCGGGGCGGGGGAAACGCAAGTGGGCACCGCCACTGGGGCCTTAGGAGGAGCTCCCTATGGGGCCACGAAGCATTGTGCGGGGTGGGGGAGACGCATGTGGACACCGCCACTGAGGTCTAAAGTGGAGCTCCCTCTGGGCCCACGAAACGCTGTGCCGAGTGGGGGAAGCACATGTGGACACCGCCTCTGGATGATTAGGTGGAGCTCCCTACGGGGCCACCAAACATTTTGCTGAGTGGGGGAGACGCATGTGGACACCGCCACTGGGGCATTCAGTGGAGCTCCCCATGGGGCCACGAAACGCTGTGCTGGGTGGGGGAGACGCATGTTGACACCGCCACTGGAGCCTTGGGTGGAGCTCCCCATGGGGCCACGAAACGCTGTGCTGGGTCGGGGAGACGACGACGAAGACATGCGGAGTGCAGGGGCAAGGGATGGGAGGAGGGAGGAGGGGAGGAGGAAGGAAGGAAGGAAGGAAGGAAAGAGGGAATGGGGGGCGCTGTCTCCTCAAAACGAGCACCCAACACCACAGGACTGTTGGGAAATAGCGAGTTTCTGTGCTGCTCTAAATCGAGCCAGAACACCATAGGGAGTCTCATTTCTGCATGTGGGAAGGCTGAAATCGAGCCAGAACACCGTAGCGACCTTCATTTCTGGGCCAAATCGAGTCCAAACTCCATATTGTGTCACATTTCTAGACCAAACCGGGGCATAATATATTGTGAACGCTGCCGGCACGCGCCGCCGAACCCGTGAGACGCCTCCCCCCTGCCCCCTTTGTAGAGGCTCTGGTGAAAGGGATCTTTGATCTCCACTGGAACCTTCTAGCGAAACGCTATTAGGGAACAAGGGGTCGGCGGGTCCGGAGGTGACGCGCTGAGCGGCAGCGTTTTTCGGCGAACGCCTTAATGCAACGTGTCCGACGCATCCAATGATTGCGCACTTGCGACATAGTGTGTTATTTTGCTTGCGTGTGTCACCCCTCTAACCCAACCCGAGGCCACGCCACATCCACCATACCAAAAATGGTGGCCCCCTTCTGGGCCTCAAAAGCGTACAACAACCATCGGACATCTATTGACTCGGCCTCTTGGGCCTCTTGGGGGTGGGAGTCCAAGAGGGCCTCAAGACGGCTAACGATGGCTCCAAGGCGGCCCAAGATGGCCCCGAGAGGGCCAGGAGGCCCCCCAAGGCAGCCCACGATGGCCCCTAAAGCGCCCCCCAAGATCGCCTCCAATGGCCAAACACATGAATTTTCCGATGGTCGTTGTCAGATTTTCGCGTCCTCACCTTTTTCGGCTCTTGGAGGCCGAGGGAGGACGGCGGAGGGAGGAGGGAGGAGGGACGGAGGGAGGAGGAGGGATGATGATGATGATGATGATGATGATCCCAACGGGGGCACCGCAGAACACGTCCGAGAGGCCCCCGAGGACGGCCCAAAGGACCCCGAGAAAGCCCCAAGGCGGCCGAGAGGGGCTCACAGGACGGCTTCCGAAGGGGGCCAAACGGCGCGAGAGTGCCCCAAGACGGCCCATGACGCCCCCAGGAGGCCCCAAGAAGCCCCAAAGAAGCAAGCAAGAGGCCCAACCTGAACGCCCAAGAGGCTCCCGCCATGCCCCGCAGCGACGAGATTGCGAGTGTTCCGCACGTGCACCCCGCGAAGAGAGAGAAATCCAGCAAGACCAAAGTAAGAACTACCTCCGCTCCATGGCCACACCTTCGGATGATGTTTTGCTGGAAAGGATTCAGCTTTCGCTTCTAAGACCGAAAACGCTGATGTCAAACAGCAGAGCTGAAACATGTGTTGAATACTTGTTGGGGGCATCCAGAGATTCCTGCTTCTGTTCCCAACGGGCTCTCAATGCGGCCCACGAGACGCCAACATCCAAGCGAGCCCCAGACGCTGCACGACTTCCCAGGGAGGCCCCAAGACGGTCTGAAGGGCCTCCACGAAGGTTCCAAGACGGCCCAAGAGGCTCCCAGGACAGCTCAAAATCCCCTGAGACACCTCAAGAAGCCCTCCTACGAGACAGCCAAGAGGCGTCCAAAGCGTTCCAAGAAGCCCTGGGGCCGCCCAGTGAGCCACCGAGAGGCGCCCCAGACGGCGTGAAGGTTCCCTATGAGATTCCAGGATGGTTCAGGACGCCGCTGAGGCGTCAGGAGGCACCCAAGAGCAACAAACGTCGAGAAAGCCAAATACCGCCCCAGACGGTTCCAAGACGGCCCCCGAATGTCAAACAATTGGTCCAGGATGATTGACCGGAGCACTTTCAGGGAGGGGGCGCCGCAGAGCTAATGGCGCCGACACGACCGACGACTGGCCCCGATGTGCGCAGGGGGCGGTGCGCCAATGTCCCCCCGTACATGCGAACTGTTACGGCGGCTGACGGCAGACGGAGGCGTCAGCGCCACGTCTCCCACGGCTCCGTCGTCGTCGTCGTCGTCGGCGTCGGCGGCGGCGACGACCACGTCGGTCGAGGGAGCGAGGGCAGCAAGCAGGGGGCGGGAGAGGGGGGGCTGCGGGGAGGAGACAGCGGGCAGGTGGAGACGCCTGCTGTCTTGCATCGTAGCCTGTACTGCTATTCCTGGGAGGGGGGCGGGCAGGCGGAGATGGAGAGGGCGGGAGGATGGAGAGGGCGGGAGGGGAGGAGGGCGGAGGATCTGGAGAGACCGCACCAGCTCGGAGCAGCAGGATGCAGCGCGCCGCAGTCCGTCGGGAATGTTCGCGGGCACCCGCGCGATGCGCAGGCGCGAAGCGCCGAAGCGCGGAGTCCACTGTACAGAGGCATTGTCAACGCAGCCGCCGATCGACTGCCGCAGGCCGGGGCCCCCGGGACCCCGCCCGGCACCGCACGAGGCGAGCGAGGCGGCGGCGGGAGCGCAGCAAGGTCCCGACCCAGACATCCGATGTCTTGATTTGCTTAGCACGCAGTCCCCAGAAGTCCCGACAACCTTCCTGGGACCGGCTTTTCGTCTTGAGCCGTTGTTTGACGCCCCATCGGGCCCCAGAGGGCCAACCATGAGAACAACAACTCCTGATTGTCGTTTTCAAGACGCTGGAGGCCTGGGAAAAAGATGGAGAGGAGGGAATCGTGCTCGTGCTCGTGCTCTTGGTCGTGGTCGTGGTCGTGGTCGTCGTCGTCGTCGTCGTCGTCGTCGTCGTCGTCGTCGTCGTCGTCGTCGTCGTCGTGGCCGTCGTCGTGGCCGTCGTCGTCGTCGTCGTCGTCGTCGTCGTCGTCGTCGTCGTCGTCGTCGTCGTCGTCGTCGTCGTCGTGGCCGTCGTCGTCGTCGGGCTCAGCGCCGGCACGGGGCGAGGCGCGGCAGCTGCACCTGCACCCTGCGGCGGGCGCCATGCGCGCCCCCGCGCTTCGCCACCCAGTGGTCGCAGGCCTGCTCCCCCGCGCCGCCGCACTCCGCCGTGCCCTGTAGCACCGCCGCGCTCCGATCCACCGTGTGGCCGCCGCCCAGCCGCGCCTTGGGCCCACTGAGCCCAATGAGCTCCACTGAACCCAACGGGGCCCATTGGACCCGTTGAGCTCCACGGGCCCATTAAGCCCAGTGAGCTTCATTGAGCTCCACGGACCCAGTGAGCCTAATGAGCTCCATTTCCACGGGCCCATTGAGCCCAATGAGCTCCATTGAGCTCCACGGGCCCTTTGAGCCCAATGGGCCCGTTGAGCCCATGGAGCTCCTCGGGCCTATTGAGCCCATTGGGCAGGGCGAGCTCGGTCGAGGACCGCCCGGCCTGCTGCCCCGCGGCGAGGCTCAGCGGCGCCGGCCCGGCCCTCGCGGCGCCGCCGCGGCGCACGCAGAAGATGTCGCGCAGGAGCCGCAGCGCCCTCGCGGTGGGCGCCCCGGCGTCGGTGGGCCACGCGGGCGCCTGCGGGTCCCACTGGGCGCGGCCCACGGCGCCGCAGATTCTGTGCAGGAGCTGGCCGCCCTGGGCCTGCGTCAGCGGCGAGGCCAGCAGCGCCACCAGCCGCTCGGCAGGGCTGAGCTCATCCTGGTCGAGGGCGTCGGCGAGCACCGCCGCCCCCTCCAGGTAGGCCCGGGCCTCGTCCGCCGTGGACCACCTCCCCAGGGGGCACCGGAGCGAGAACCTGGCCGCGAACGCGGCGGCGCCCTCCGCGGTCCACGCCCCCTCCTCCACGTGAGCCTGGGCGACGGCCTGGGCGGCCTTGCCGCGGAGGTAGTCCAGGAGCACGGGCAGCACCGGGCCCCAGCCGCGGCAGCAGGCGCAGAAGGCCGTGAACAGCACCGCGCTGCCCTCGCAGACCCTGTGCGCGGCCTGCCCGTCCCCATGCAGCGCTCCCCACCGGAGGTGCTGCGCCGCGTGCCACGCCTCGTGCGCCGACACCAGCTGGACGACATCCTCCCTCCAGGGCTGCCCGCTCCAGCCGAAGGTGATGCTGTAGTCGTGGTGCCTATAGCACGCCATGGCGGGACGCGCCTCCGACTCGTCCACCCTCACCGTCGGGGGCGGGACGCTGGCTAGCCCGCAACCGAGGTCCTGCATTAGCCGCATGCTCTGTGACACCCAGTGGACGGCGCGCTGCTGCAGGAGCTCCGGGCTCGCCAGCTCCGCGCCTGGCTCAGCCACCGCGCCCGCTGGGCCGCTGGCCCCCTTCGGGCCCTGGCCCAGGGGCGCCGAGATGAAATCTCGCAGGCCCTCGCGCCACGACGGCGCCGTCCGCGCGAAGTCCACGGAGCCCGCGAACCTCGCGACGGCCGCCCGCTTCGCGGCGCTGAGTTCCTCGGCAGGGCCTCGCGAGGTCCTTCTCGCGGGGCCGCCGTGCCAGGCGCGGGGCTCCCCAGCGGGGTGCCGCATATGCCCCGGGGCGCGGGCACCGAGCCTCAAACGGCTCGAGCCTCGTGCCAGAAACGGCTACGGAGGCGAGAGAGGATCGACGAGGTACAGGAGAAGGAAGAGGATGAGGAGGAGGAGGAGGAGGAGGAGGAGGAGGATGAGGATGAGGATGAGGATGATGATGATGATGATGATGATGATGATGATGATGATGATGATGATGATGATGATGATGATGCTGATGATGATGATGATGATGATGATGATGATGATGATGATGATGATGATGATGATGCTGATGCTGATGATGATGATGATGATGAGGAGGAGGAGGATCGACGAGTTACAGTCAACCCGTATCACGAGGATGCGCGGTAAGGGTGCAAGGGCCTCGGAGGGCCAAGTGGACGTTTTTCGAGCGAGGCTGGCCAGTGAAAGTCGCCGAGGATGGGCCGAAGGGACAAAGATGAAAGGGTACCCTTGGAAAGGAGCCCAGTAAGCAGGTACTTATAGTGAGCATTTGTTTTATTTATTTGGCGTTTCGACATTGGGCGGAAGGGGGAGGGGAGGGGAGTGTCTGGCTGCGGACCTCTGCTTAGTGCGACTGTTTGCAGCAGTGCGGCCGATGGGGGACCCCACCTGCTCGAAACAGGCGCCCCAAAACAGCCAAGGTCTACTCGATGGGGGGGGAGGGGGGTCTTGGGGCCCGCGCCGATCAGCAAAACAATGAAAAAAAAACGATCACATTGCGAAACTGAGCGATAGCGAACCGATCCCCCATATGGCACGCTGGGGAACCTGACGCCCACGTCTAGCGAGAAGCCACAGCCGCTCGACGACACGTGCTGAATCTAAGATCCCACCCACATCGATGAAAGTCTTCAGTACTCATCTCCTGTCACACTCTTGCAAACATACAAGTCCTAGTTGGCAAGCCCCCCAAGATACTGTGTTTGGGGGGTCTCGGCTCGATCTCTGATCGATCTATCAAGTCGCCACCTCGAGCCTGGTGGCGCGACCGATGTTTTGCAGGCCGCCGTCCCGCTGGCGCTCCTCTGCACAGCTCGTGCCACGAGAGACTCCTCCTCTCTTTCCTCCTGCTCCTCCTCCTCCTCCTCCTCCTCCTCCTCCTCCTCCTCCTCCTCCTCCTCCCCCTCCTCCTCCCCCTCCCCCTCCTCCTCCTCCTTCTGCTCCCCGTCCTCGCTTCTAGCATCTGTCCAGCATGGGCCTGCCAGGGGGCGACGCCGCCTCCGCTTCGCAAGTGCCTCGATGGGGTCGCGCGACAGGCCAGGCAGGCGGACGGGCGCTGCCTCTGGGGCCCTCGGTGGAGCACCTCACGGGGCCACCGAACGCGCGAGGGGTGCGCCGAAGTGGAGGTGGAACTGCATGCGGACCCTGCCACTTGGGCCTTCGGTGGACCAGACTCTGGCCACGAAACGTGCGATGCGCCGACACGGGGGTGGAACTGCATGCGAGCCCTGCCGCTGGGGCCTTCGGTGGAGCTCCCCATGGGGCCACGAACCGTGTGCGGAGGGCGCCGACATGGAGGCCGTGGCGATGGCGCGCCGCTGTGGCCCAGAACGCCACGAGCACTCTTCAGACTTCTGTGCGCGAGTGTTCGTAGAGCCCCAGGGCTGGCCCTCGGACCCTGCCCGCTGGCCGTCGTTTGGCGGCGGGCGCGGGGGGGGGAAGCGAGAAGGAGACGTCCTTCTCCGGAGGCTCGGAAGTTCCCCGGCTCTTTCTGAGAAGTGTTCGACGCACTCCCCGAAGACATCGGAGACTTCTCAGAAGGCGCGAGGTCTTCAGAGAAATCCCGCCGCCTTCCGAGAAGGCCTTCTCCCTCTCACTTGAGGGGCAACGAAAGGGGGGGATAGGGATAGGGGGGGAAACATCGACCTGGAATATCGGCGATGCATCGCCGATCGATCGGCGATAGGCCTGCGATCGTGAATCCGCGCGCTCCTGGGCAGGCTGGGGCCACCAGGCCCCTCTCGGCGATCAATGGGCGATGGGGGGTCGATGCCCTCCTCCTCCTCCTCCTCCCTCCTCCTCCTCTCCCCCTCCTCCCCCTCCTCCTCCTCCTCCTCCCCCTCCTCTTCTCCTCCTCCTCCTCCTCCTCCTCCTCCTCCTCCTCCTCCTCCTCCTATTCCTCCTCCTATTCCTCCTCCTATTCCTCCTCCTCCTCCTCCTCCTCCTCCTCCTCCTCCCCGAGCAGCCGCTGGAAAAAGCACCCGCGAGAGCCGCCTGGCGCCCTCCTCGGCCCCGAGCGCACCGCGGCCCCACCGAGAGCACGACATGACGGGCCGGTGTTCCTTCCACCGCCACCGCCCCAGGCAGGGGGAGGGGAGGAGGAGGAGGAGGAGGAGGAGGAGGAGGAGGAGGAGGAGGAGGAGGAGGAGGAGGAGGAGGAGGAGGAGGAGGAGAGGAGGAGGAGGAGGAGGAGGGGAGGAGGAGGAGGGAGGAGGAGGAGGAGGAGGAGGAGGAGGAGGAGGAGGAGGAGGAGGAGGAGGAGGAGGAGGGGGGGTACTCCAGAGTGCGATGACGCCGCTGCCTCTCCACATGCTCGCCCTCTGCGCGACCCCACTGCAGCGTGCGGGGGTGCCCTTGAGCGCCGGCCTGAAGCCGCGCAAAAAGATGCAACTGCTAGGAGGGGGCCCCATCCTCCCCTCTCCCCCGTCCTACATGTGGCATTGGTGGTGGAGAACTGGCCCATCACGACATCGCGCCCCCCCCCCTCTGCTCCTGGCGCCCTCCGAGCCGACTCCGGCCAGACTCCGCAGAAGATCTCGCCTTCGGCCATCGGTGCTTCGGCGGCCCTGCACACTTTGGACGCGGAAGGACATACTAGTACCATGTGTCCTCCCCGGAGGCGCGCGTCCGACCCGAACATATAGTATACCCATCTTGGAGCATATCGTTTCCCCCGCGGTGTGGCCAGAAAGCGCCCGCCACGAGGCATATACTGTAAGATTTCTCGGTGCGCGCGTCGCCCCTGGGGGGGCGACGCACACATAGTATTCGTATGTTGGGGTTACGCCGACTGGACACTGGCTGCGCGCATCTTGCTGCATGTGGTAGGCGCAGTGCCGCCGCGGTCCTGTCCAGTACATCCGGTACCAGTCACACCTGCTGTGGCGAAGATCTGCAGTCGGTCGCGGTCGGACACCACGCCATCATCGAGCCTGAGGGGATGAGCTGCACGTGGAGTGTAAGGCCAAGGTCCCGCTCCCGACGCGATTCCACCGCCCAGAGAATGAAACGACTGGTGGTGCTTGGTGAACGATTCTCTCGAGCAAGTTCGGGGGATCACAGTGGATCCTCACCTCTCTATGAACATGTAGGCCGCTAGGAAAAATGGCTCCTCACTGAGCAGCGGTTTAGGGGCAAGCCGCACGCTGATAGGTTAACCCAGCGGAGCGCCGAGCCGCTCCGAACTCCCTCCGACCAACTCCTGCTCGTGGAGGGCTGTGCGTCGTTGGCTCGGAAGGCGGCCCGAATCGCGACCTCCCAGCAGGTGCACATCAGTGGCGACAGGGGGTTCCACGTGATGGCTTGGACTGGCTCGCCACGGCCCAGCTAAAGGCTATCCCTGGGCTCCATATCACTGCCCCTCCCAGGCACCCCACAGAGCCTTCTCAGGAACCCCGAGGGCCTCTGAAGTCAGAGGTTGACTGTGGGGGCTGGGAAAGTATCCATCGGGAGCCCACGGAGCCGTGGCATGGCAGGCGGAGACGACTTAATGCTTGCCGAAGTGGTTGGGCACGGAGGCCGGGACACCACAGACGCGATGCTGGTGTGCACGTCGTGCGGGGGTTATGAAGGAGGCAACCATAATAGACCAAATTATGCGACCACCATTCGAGTGATAAGGAGATTGGGGGGTGGGGGAAAAATCAACTGCTGGCAAACGCGATGGGTGTGATGATGGCGATGCTGGTGACGCGCCCTCGAGTTAGCGACGACGCGTGATGACGATGGCGCGCTGCGATGTGATGTCAGCATTGTCCCCGCTTTCGATCTCAGTCAATCGATCCCCCTATCGGCCTCACGGCCAGTCTTACTACCAAAGGATTCAGCGATCGATCCAACTGTGCTCGCCCCAGGGGCGCTTGCCTGTCCCCGCGAGATCTGCACGACCCAGGGGACGTCGCCGCCCTGCGCGCCCGACAGCGCGCGAGCACAACCAGCGCCGCAATTACTCGCGCCGTCGATGTCACTCTTGATCTCACCGTCCATCCCGTTCTTGACTACCTACCAGATCACCCCAACCCAACCCGAAGACCCGAATTTGACCCGAATTTCGGGTGGGGCGGGGGTACGGGTTCCACGTGTCTTTTCCATGTTCCGCGACCCCCCCCCACTGGAAATGGAGGGCAAACTGAGGCCTTCGGGTTGGGCTGGGGTGGTTCGGTGGGTGGTGAGTTCCAACGCATCGCCTTCACCATCGATACCACGGCGGGGCACCCCTGGCCACCGCCCCCCCGCCGCCGACGGAGCACCGCCCGGACACCGACGGGGCACCGTGGGGGACACCACGGCGGTGGACAAACCTCCCTTTAGTAAACCTCCCCTTCGTGAAAACGACCTGGGACCGAAACCGACGGACCTGGACCCGCAAAAAAGGACGGCCGCGACGCCCTCTCGCGAACCGAAAACTGCCAGTTCCTTAATCGACGTGTCAGGGCAGGAGGTCTGTCCCCCTCCGAACCGTGGGGGACACCACGGGGGACCCCCCCGGCGGGACACCGCTCGCGCCCACGCCGCGGGCAGAGGGGCGGCCCCCTGCTGCATCCGCATCGTCGCCCTGGCGACGGCGGGGCCTTCCCCTCGCGCGCCCGCGCAGCCGCGCCTCGCCCACACTGAAGGGGCCCTGGGGCACACACATACACAGACACAAAGAACCGGATCGCCCGCATTTTGGCGCATTTTCTCTTCCCCCACTTCCCATAATTTCCCATATTTTCCTGGGGGTCGACGATTCAAAATGTGTGTGTGTGTGTGTGTGTGTGCGTTTTTTCCCC